CACCCGTGTTCTTCAGTTACGCCCTGTCCGGCAGCTATAGCGCGCCCACCGACTGTTGCCGTAATCCAAATATACGCCAGTGTCTGCCCATACGTATTGAGCCCACGCCATACGACTATCACTACGCAAAGTATAACAACACGTGCATGAATTTTATCCGATCGGCGCCCTGTCCTCTATGCGAAATCGGTAATTGTGTCCACCATTTGATTAGAGAATATGTTATTTATACTAACATGTTATGTGTGGTTAGGGCCGAGACAACAGTCCAATATCGCCACCTCCTTCCTGGACGCCGGCACTATCTATGGCAACACTGCCAACGACTCGGCGCCCATCCGTACCTTCCGATTCGGTAACCATTAACTGTTTTTGTTGCCACCAATTATCTCATTATAACGTAAACCTATTATTACAAGGCCTACTGAAGACAAGTCAGGATCGGTTCGGGCGGCCAATACTGCCGACAACACCCGCGCCCTGGAATAACGAGTGCAGCCCTCCGTCGGCGGGTATGCAGTGTTTCTACGCGGGAGACCAGCGATGCAATCAACACCCGTCGCTCATGTCTATGCACCTCATGTTTTTGCGCCGACACAACCTCATAGCCACGTCATTGCGCGCTGTGAACGGCCACTGGACCGACGAGACCCTATACCAAGAGGCCCGCCGACTCGTCATCGCCGAGATTCAACACATCACGTATAATGAGTACCTGAGGATTGTTTTTGGTTCGCAACTCATGGACTACTACAGCCTGAATGTGCTGAACCGGGGCTACACGGCCTACGAGCCCGACACAGACCCGACCACTTGGAATGAATACGCGACCGCCGCCTGTCGTTTCGGTCACTCCCAGATCAGGAGCTTTCACTCGGCGTTTGGCAACCAATCGGCCGGCAGTTATCACCTGAAGGATACTTTTATGGACCCGTCGCTACTCCATCGCGGACTGGTATGTGTTGGCCATTGATTTTGTGTTGGGTTTTATGCTTGATGTGTTGTTTTTGCCTGTTTTATGGATTCAATACGATTAGTTGTTTTATTATGCTAATTTGGTGTTACAAACATGCATTTGGTTAGGTGTTTATGATGAATCGTGTGTGAACGGGTTGTATCTAGATAAATTTAGAGATCCGGGCTTAGATTTATGCTTACATAAGTGTGATTGAAATTAAAATTTAAGGCACGATCGTATTTTTCGTTAACATTTTCAATTCACTGCGATTTGCATGAAATTGTTATATAATTTTTAAATTGTTTATTTAAATACAGTATAAAAACTGCATTTAGTTTTAATTTATTTCATACTTAACACCAAATTTCAGCCCAAAAAAAGTTGTATTAATTTCCTGAGGAAAGAGATGTATGAAATTGATTGCAATTTTAGCGAATGGCTCTCAAAAAGCTCATGAATTTGTAAATACATTATTAAAAAACAGCATAAGTTATACATAAGTTATTTCACTTTCACTTGTGTTACAAAAAACACTCTTAACTCACAAAAACAGTTTATATTGTTTGAAATCAAAAAGTTATTTTGACAATTTGTAGGCAAAGAGGAGACAAAAATTTAGTTCACTATCTCTCTAATGTATACCATTTGGTGAAATAAAACAAAACCTAAATCACTGTTTTTTATGAGACAATTAGTTTATACTTGATTTACATACATATCTCTTGTGTTTTTATATATCGGTTAACTTCAAGTGATTGATTAGTTTATGAATAACTTGAATGCTTGTAAATTATGCACATAAAAATACTTCACTTCTCTCTCTCTCTCTCCTCTTTTATTGCAAATTTTTGATTAATTTTTTAAAATACTTTTCGTGTTTAATATTTATAGACCCAATGGATGGCCAGAAGGGTTGGCTAAGCGCTTCAGCCCAAAAAAAGTTGTATTAATTTCCTGAGGAAAGAGATGTATGAAATTGATTGCAATTTTAGCGAATGGCTCTCAAAAAGCTCATGAATTTGTAAATACATTATTAAAAAACAGCATAAGTTATTTCACTTTCACTTGTGTTACAAAAAAACACTCTTAACTCTCAAAAACAGTTTATATTGTTTGAAATCAAAAAGATTTTGACAATTTGTAGGCAAAGAGGAGACTTTTAGTTTAGTTTAGTAGAAAAATTTAGTTCACTATTTCTATAATGTATACCATTTGTTGAAATAAAACAAAACCTAAATCACTGTTTTTATGAGACAATTAGTTTATACTTCATTTACATACATATCTCTTATATTTTTTATATATCGGTTAACTTCAAGTGATTGATTAGTTTATGAATAACTTGAATGCTTGTAAATTATGCACATAAAAATACTTCACTTCTCCTCTCTCTCTCTCTCTCTCTCTCTCAATATGTTTGGGAAAAATTAGATGCAAATCGAGTGAGAAATATAAAAAAGAGTTTATATGAAAAACAAAATTATTTAACTTCTCTCTCTCTCTCTCTCTCTCTCTCTCCTGTAATGAATTTCCGAAATAAATAACTACTTTTTTATTACCAAAATATTTAGGAAGTATTTATGTAAAAAGGTATTTGAGTGTCGAGAGTGAAAAAGAAACACAGATTTACCAAACAGTTAGCGATTAATATTCAAATCATTAGTCAATTGAATTGAATAATAATATCTATTACACGATTGGGTATTGCGGCGATCGTTCACTACAACGGGGTAATGGGTTTGCATAATGAATATAATTAATGTATTGATTTCACTCGTAAAACAAAATCGATACCAGAGTTTGCGGGAAAAAATCGTGTTTACGATTGAATCTTATCGACAAAATAAAACCATATAAAAATTGATAATAATAATAATAACGGTAAATTTGCATCGATGTTAAATAACAGTATGCACTATACGGGTCCTGTTATCTGGGGTAGTATATGCCCAACATTAGGGGCGGGAATAGGTTTAGGGTTTAATTAAAAATCACTTTAAAACACACGTGAATAGAGAGTGTGTTTCTCTCATTACCTGTTAATTTGTTTCCGAAAGTATTTTAATGGATAGATAACCCGAAATGCAGGCAAAATATATGGGTATATAAACTAAACACCCGCTGAGCGGTAATACAGAGGGGGGAATCCCCTCCAACACACCAGCGCTTAGCCAACCCTTCTGGCCATCCATTGGATCTATAAATATTAAACACGAAAAGTATTTTAAAAAATTAATCAAAAATTTGCAATAAAAGAGGAGACGCTCTTATAATTGGGTTATTATTTATATTTCCGCGAAAATGAAAAACACACTCGACTTTTGGATTTAATATATTTTTTTGTTAAATAATTTTGTTTTTCATATAAACTCTTTTTTATATTTCTCACTCGATTTGCATCTAATTTTTCCCAAACATATTGAGAGAGAGAGAGAGAGAGAGAGAGAGATTCAATTGAATCTATTGAATGGATGCATAAATTTTGCGATTTTCCAGATGTTATAACTTATAAGAGGTATACAAAAATCTAGAGTGTTTTACTTTGAACTAAATCTAATTTTTATAATATAAAATACATTATATTTTTCTATCAAAATGAATAGTTTTGTTATTCGTATTTCTATACATTACAATATAATATTCACTTTCGTATTGAATTATATATAAATTTGAATTTAAATTAAAATCAAAATAGATTTATATCAGCGGATAATAAATATGCCTTTGAATACATTATAATATCATATAATTTATGTTTACTTTTTATCTAAATCTCGTCACCGATTAGCCATTCAATGGCTGATGAGATTTGTATTCAATTTGTTTTTGTGTAAATTTTTATGTATTTTGTTTATAATCCTAAATGAATTTTTATTGTTGTTTTATACCTTTATTTTTATTAGTTTTTAGTAAATTATTTTTTAATTGTATTTATTTCATACTTGTGTTAAGATTACTTTAACACTGCATACCATTCAATGCAAATAAAAATTTAAATCTCAATTAAGATTCTTAACAATTATCTCTCTCCCAGTCTCTCTCTCTCTCTCTCTCTCTCTCTCTCAAATAAAATATCTTAATTTTAGGTCAAAATAGTTTTTTCAATAGTTTTATATTGTTTAAATTAAAACCAGTGCTTAAAAACA